GCCAATGGAGTTCTCGTTGGAGGACCATTGCATAAATACACTATATTTTATCATAAAAAGGCTTATCGTCTGTGATGTGTAAGTTCTGCTTCACACTACTGGCGTGCAGTCACATGAAAGCCCTTCTACAAATGAATCTGGAATGATAGCTTTCGGAGTCGTCACAAAAGAATCAACTAGTTGTGAAATAAACAGAGCACAAAAAGGAAATCGAACGATTATAAATCTCTTTGGCATATTGGTTTCGTTTCCCTTGTGCGGCTGCACATACCGTAAGAAGATCCAAGCTCCGGGCTCCGAAGTCTTTCCCCAGCTCTATTTAAATATAGTGTAGTAAAGCTTTTTAGAGAACTGATGTCTCTGTTCTCTAAATTTTGGCGCACGGAACAGATCCCATCAATCTTTCTTTTTTTCTTTTTATCTTTACTTCATTTTATTTAACATGCAATGGTACAATTTTTAGGAAGAGGGGAAGCGGCCAATCAACGGGCTGCCATTCAACACACAGTGGGTAAAGTCAGGCGATGGTGGTGGGATTCGAACACATCCCCGGGGTGATAATTTGGTGACGTTAGCACCGGGCCACCACCGCCCCTATATGATCCTTGGGTGTGTGTGGGGGGGGGGTCAATTGTTTTTCCCATCATAAAGGGCCCACGGAATGACTGCGCTCATCACAGAGGTAAAAGCCTTTTTCCAATAGCCTCAAAGCTGTTGGTCTCCGTCATTTTCCGCCAGTTGTACAAGTTGCGTGAAGAGCAGACCCGCGAGGAATAGGCTGGGTTTCGCACTGGTCGCAGATGCATCGACCAGATCTCGATGCTCCGACAGCTGCTAGAGCACTGGCATGCTTATCAAAGACCAACGATCACTGTGGTCCTAAACATTCACGCAGTTCTCGACTTTATCGACAGTACCGCACCATGGAGCTGTTTTTTGAGGTATGGAGTACCGGAGTGACATCGTCATACCTCAGATCGGGTTAAGACCTATGGCCAGCTTTCGTCACCGTTTGTCGCCTCCAATGGAGTTGGACAAGACTATCACACATTCCTATTCCTCTTCAACTTCGCGATGGAGGATATTCTACTTTCATCCTTTGTGGTGATCAGCTTCAGGTGGTTGAGAGATTTAGTTACTTTGAGAACTTGATCACAGGTGGCGATGGGGTTAGAGAGGAGATCACCTCACGAGTAGTGAAAGCTAGAGCAGCTTTTGCCACCCTGCGACACCTGTGATGCCGTCATGATATCCGACTGTCTCTTAAGCAAGGGGTGTATATCTCTGCAGTTTGTAGTGTTCTACCCTGAAGCAGCGAGACCTGGCCCCTCGACGCTGAGGATGCCAATTGACTTTCTGTAATCGACTATCAATGTCTACGAAGCATTGCTCTTGTCTTGTTTGAAAATCGGGTGAGTGATGATGAAGTTCGTCGTCATGTGTTGGATGCGGATAGTCATTCTCTCAAATAAGTAATCTCTTTACACCACCGCTGATGGCTTGGTCACGTACTTTGTACGCCTGTCCATCTTCTGCCTTTCCGCACTCTTTGCACGTACTGTGCCAGGATGGAAGAAACGCCATAGCGTTCACATAATGACATGACGTAGAGGCATGAGGAAGCTTGCCTCAGCTGCGGCTCCGGTTGGGAAACAAGGGATTAGGATTCCCGTTGGTAAGAGAGGCTAAGAGTTATGGACCAGAATAGAAGTCAGTGGCACGAACGCTGTGCGTCCACCCGTTGAAATTCCATGCCACATAGAGAAAAAAAACAATCAAGTAACACAAAAAATATCAAAGCTGTACGATGAAACCAGCAAAAAGTGTTGCTCTTTGTACCCACTGTAACTGTTTAAACCTCCATCTCAATGTCTCAGCCCCTTCGTTCTATGTTATTCTTTGGGTTGTGTTGGCACCATCCTTGTTCGCAGACAGATGATATATGTACCCTGTTGTGCTTCATCGTGATTTCCGGTTTCATATTCGAGCTACTTTGCATAAACGCGGAGAAATCATCCTACGGCGTGTTAGATCACAACTGAATTCAGCAAATTGTCTAGTTAAATATTTTATTATCTTATTACCGATGGTCATCATACTTCATGATAGTTAACTTTCATCCACCTACTAACGTTCGCATAAGAGATTTTGTACAAAAGAAGGAAAATTGCGCCCAATTACAACCGCAAATTCGAAACCAGAGCTTTATTGAAAACATGGATGCGGTCGGCAGCAATTTCCACCATACAAAATTATCCCAATTCAAGGAATTGCGTACAGCATTGAAGTAAGTTAGAGTTGCTTGTTGGAACGCGATTCACTGGTAACCTCTTTCTAAACGATAACCTCTAGATCAAAATATTGGGTTTGTCAAAAGCATTCATTTGGGATAACTGAATGAAAATGATGTGGAGCTTATTTTGCTACCGTTAAGCTCAAAACATTTCTGCTATGTTTTCAATTTTTCTGCCAAGTTTATCGACTACTTTTCTCTCTGTGACTCACTTGACATAGAATATCTACGAAGCCTGCCGGATAATATATTTCTAGCGTCTTACAGTCACAATTGATTATTAAGCGAGCATAGCACAAAAGAACTGTAACATCTTACGTAAAAATCAATCAGAAGAGATCTCAAAACCATACAGACACCAAGAGTGATCAAAATTCCATTGATTAGAATATACCTTCGAAGATAAGCTGTCAAAATAACAGCAACTGTTTTCTCTGTATCTAAGGTAGTTTCAATCGCACTTTGGATATGAAACAAGGGGATCGGGCTGAAAAAACAAGCGTACTACTTGTCTTA